ACAAAAAAAAAAAAAAGGTGTAAAAAGACCATTAAAGTTAACCAGCAAGCATTTATCATCTTAATTTTACATTATATATATTCACAATGCTCTTACAAATAGATTATTTAAATACACTTCAGTTTATTTAGCACTAGTACTATTTGATCTGTCTCCCACGTTTGAGTTAGTGTAGCACACACCAATATTAAGGTACTGTGAAGTAGTGGTGGCCTTAACACAATATTGCCATATGGTGGAACCATTGGCGGATCCGGGGGGGGGGGGCAACGGGGCAGTTGCCTCCCCAAGATTCTCCCCTGCCGGCTAATGCAGGGCTGGCATTGTCCAAGTGCCAGCCCTGCAATGTGCCTGTGGACTGGGGAGGGAGAGCAGAAAGATCAGAGTTCTCCCTCCCCGGTCCGCAGGCACATTGTTGACAGCCAGCAGGGGAGGGAGAGGGAGGAGAGAGGACCCGGGAGCTCAGTCTGCAGCTCCTCCGGGTCCTCCTCTCGCAAGATTTGGAGTGTTGCCGCGGTTACCACGGCAACGCTCCAAATCTCGCGAGAGTGAAGTCTAGCCCTGGATCGCGGGCTAGACTTCACTCCACACTAGAACCACCAGGGACGGAGAAATGTCCCCCCTCCTCCTCAATAAAGGTAAGAAGGGAGGGGGGACATCAATATATTTTATTAAATAAAAAAATGTTTTCTTAAAAAGCCTCCCTACCCTCCTTCCTCCCCCATACACACATACACTGCCCCCATACACACATACACTGCCGCCCATACACACATACACTGCCCCCCATACATACACTGCCCCTCCATACACACATACACTGCCCCCATACATACACTGCCCCCCCCATACACACATACACTGCCCCCATACACACACACCGCTTTATACGCATACACTGCCCCCATACACACACACACCCCCCAACACACACACACACTGGCACACCTTTACACACACACACACTTCCCCCATACACATACACCCCCCCCCATACACACATGCACTGCCCCATACACACACACACTGCTTTATACATACCTGCCCCCAGCCACACACACTGCTGTACGCTTTTGCACACAAATACACTGCCCCAGCCAGCCCACACTGCCCCCATAAATGCACGCGCCTTTCCCATACGCCTGCCCCCCAGCACACACACCCCCAGCCACATACACACTGCCCTCCCATACACTGCCCTTACCGCTTTGCAACCACTGCACACCCCTTACACACAGACACATACAGTTTCACTTTTCTGCACCCCATACACACATTGCCCCACACACACACGACCCCCCATACATACAGTGCCCCCCATACACACACTGCCCCCCATACATAAAGTGCCCTCCCCATACACACACTGCCCCAAACACACATACAGTGCCCCCCATACACACACTGCTACCCTCACACACACACACACTGCCACACACATACACTGCCCCCTAACACACACTGCAACCCTGACATACACTGAAGCCCTCACGCACTCACACACACACACACTTCACCGCTCACACACACTGCACCTTTCACACACACTTCACCCCTAACACACACACCACTGCTCCTATGCCCTATATCCCAGCAGTCCCCAGGTAAGTTGTCAAACTGTTCTTAAACGGCCCTCCTACGGCCTCCTCCACGTCTTCTGATGTACTGGCCTGTCTCCTGGTAGCGCCTCCATGCTCTGGACACTATGCTGACAGACACAGCAAACCTTCTTGCAACAGCTTACATTGATGTGCCATCCTGGATGAGCTGCACTACCTGAGCCACTTGTGTGGGTTGTAGACTCCGTCTTATGCTACCACTAGAGTGAAAGCACCGCCAGCATTCAAAAGTGACCAAAACATCAGCCAGGAAGCATAGGAACTGAGAAGTGGTCTGTGGTCACTACCTGCAGAACCACTCCTTTATTGGGGGTGTCTTGCTAATTGCCTATAATTTCCACCTGTTGTCTATCCCATTTGCACAACAGCATGTAAAATTGATTGTCACTCAGTGTTGCTTCCTAAGTGGACAGTTTGATTTCACAGAAGTGTGATTGACTTGGAGTTACATTGTGTTGTTTAAGTGTTCCCTTTATTTTTTTGAGCAGTGTGTATATATATATATATATATATATATATATAAAATACATATAATACTGCAAATCTCCAGGAACAAGGTTTCTAATGCATATAGTTAAAAAAAATAGGCAGCTCAAACATCCAAACAAGAGTCTCTCTGTTCTGGTCCAATAGAATATACGTGTAATAGATGGAGGGGGTAGCGCCTTGGTATATTCTCAGATGCAGATATGTTCTTAGTAGGTAGCGGTAGTTGTAAAATATATGTATATATGTAAAAAAGAAGAATAGCTACTCAAGCTCTAAACTCAGTAAGTACATTTAGTGTTTTTCTATATTTTCCTGTACAGCCTATACTGCACTGTATTTTGTTACATTATTCTTTTTTACATATTCAACTACCACTAAGAACATATATATCTCTGAGAATATACCAAGGTGCTACCCCCTTCTCCTATTACATATATTACTTTATTTTGTGTTTCAATTATAAAGCATATGTTTATATGACTCATGAATGACTGTCTTGCAGTATTCATGTGCAGTGCAACCTGTGATTGGCACTACCTTGCTGTTGCTCTACATTAACAGCCCTATGATAGATACATGATCACAGGGCAACCCCTAACTTGCTGCATTAATGTTTCCACTCAGCAACCTACTACACGCTCCAATAGTTCTTAATTACCGTGTTTCTCCGAAAATAAGACCGGGTCTTATATTAATTTTAGTCACAAAAAACACACTAGGGCTTATTTTCAGGGTAGGGCTTATTTATTTACGGTACCGGTATGTACATTGAACCCCCCCTTTAATTAATCCACCCCCCTCTAATTAATCCACCCCCTCTAATTAATCCACCCCCTCTAATTAATCCAGCCCACCCTTTAATTAATTCACCCCCTCTAATTAATCCAGTCCACTCTTTAATTAATTCACCCCCCTTTAATTAATTCACCCCCTCTAATTAATCCAGCCAACCCTTTAATTAATTCACCCCCCTTTAATTAATTCACCCCCTCTAATTAATCCAGCCCACCCTTTAATTAATTCACCACCCCTTTAATTAATTCACCCACTCTAATTAATCCAGCCCACCCTTTAATTAATTCACCACCCCTTTAATTAATTCACCCCCTTTAATGAATTCACCCCCCTCTAATTAATCCAGCCCACCCTTTAATTAATTCACCACCCCCTCTAATTAATCCAGTCCACCCTTTAATTAATTCACCCTCCTTTAATTAATTCACCCCCTCTAATTAATCCAGCCCACCCTTTAATTAATACACCACCCCTTTAATGAATTCACCCCCTCTAATTAATCCAGCCCACCCTTTAATTAATTCACCACCCCTTTAATTAATTCACCCCCTCTAATTAATCCAGTCCACCCTTTAATTAATTCACCCCCTCTAATTAATCCAGCCCACCCTTTAATTAATTCACCACCCCTTTAATTAATTCACCCCTCTAATTAATCCAGCTACCCTTTAATTAATTCACCCCTCCTTTAATTAATTCACCCCCCTCTAATTAATCCAGCCCACCCTTTAATTAATTCACCACCCCTTTAATTAATTCACCCCCTCTAATTAATCCAGTCCACCCTTTAATTAATTCACCCCCCTTTAATTAATTCACCCCCCTCTAATTAATCCAGCCCACCCTTTAATTAATTCACCACCCCTTTAATTAATTCACCCCCTCTAATTAATCCAGCCCACCCTTTAATTAATTCACCCCCCTTTAATTAATTCACCCCCCTCTAATTAATCCAGTCCACCCTTTAATTAATTCACCCCTCTTTAATTAATTCACCCCTCTTTAATTAATTCACCCCCCTCTAATTAATCCAGCCCACCCTTTAATTAATTCACCACCCCTTTAATTAATTCACCCCCTCTAATTAATCCAGCCCCCTCTAATTAATTCACCTCCCCTTAATTAATTCACCCCCCCTTTAATTAATTCACCCCCCTCTAATTAATCCAGCCCACCCTTTAATTCACCCCCCTTTAATTAATTCACCCCCCACCCCCTTTAATTAATTCAGTCCCAGACATAAAATATCTACCGGTACTCACATTTCAAAGTTTCCTTGCCGAGTCCGACCACTGGGAGCCTCACCGCCTGGAAATGGATCCTTCTGCTGAAGATCCGTGAAGGCAGACTGACGGCGCTGCAAAATGTCGTCATCACGTTGCGCGATGCCGCGGCCCGCAACGCTCCTCCTACAGTAGAAGAAGGAAGTCTCGCCGAAAAGGTAAAATGCCTAGGTCTTATTTTCGGGGTAGGGCTTATATTGCAGCCCACCCCGAAAATCCGACTAGGGCTTATTTTCGGGGTAGGGTTTATTTTCGGGGAAACACGGTATAATGTCACTGTTTAAAGGGACTCTCCAGTGCCAGGAAAACATACTTGTTTTCCTGGCACTGCAGGATCCTGTAGTGCCCCTCTCCCTCCCACCCCCCATCCTATGTTGGTTAAAACCCCTTCAGTGACTTACCAGAATCCAGCGCTGATGTCCCTCGGCGCTGGGTCAGTCTCCGCCTACCCTCCTCTGACGGCTGACGTCAGCAGGGGAGACCTAATGCGCATGTGTGCCAATGGTCATGCGCGCGCATTAGACTTCCCCATAGGAAAGCATTTAATGCTTTCTTATGGGGATTCCGGCAACGCTTTTTGTGTTCTAAGAAGCCAGAAGTCCCTCTAGTGGCAGTCTGATAGACAGCCACTAGAGGAGGACTAAACCCTGCAAGGTAATTATTGCAGTTTATAAAAATTGCAATAATTACAGTTGCAGGGTTGAGGGCGGTGGGAGTTGGCACCCAGACCACTCCAATGGGCAGAAGTGGTCTGGGTGCCTGGAGTGTCCCTTTAAGTAAAACACAGAATATGTTTTGGACATTGAAGACTCACTTTACTAGTTTTCAGCCTGCAGTCGGTGAGATGGACAAGGGATAGTTTGCAGCGGTTCCTTGGAGCAGCATGGGCTGTGTTTGGAGTGCTCTTTATCAATACATTCTCCTCCCCTAGCTGCTCCTCCAGTTCTGGAGTAGTTCCTCCTGTAACCAAGATCTGCAGTAATGCCAACACCTGCCAGTTGAAATAGCTCTGTTTGGAGGAAATAGTATTATTAAAATGACAATAGTAGGATGGAATACCCTGTGAGAGTTATTTTAAACCCACTGCCTAGCAATTTCACTTTAAGCTGCAGGCCTTTTTACTGCGTCGACACATTTTTCCTCAGTTTCTTAACATTTTGTGAATGCACTGTTTTATATTGTGAGATACGAAGTCTGTGTCAGTCACTTAGGAGTTTACAGCTAAAAAAATAGAAAGAGAGTACGGAGAAATGTATTGAGCATCTCAAAAAGCCTGCTGTTTAAAGCGTGATAACTGGAAATCAACAAAGTTACGCTTTGATCAGAAAAACACAGCTGGAAGGCAAAAAAAGCATTTACACAGGCTACATGTCAGTCATATAATATATCCCATCTCCTCTAACACAAACATCTAAACTACTAGACACAATGGCATAGGCAAATGGTGCCCAATGGGATGCCACCTGTGGCCTTGAGCATATTTGCAAAATCCATGACCTGAATATTGTCTGTATATTGACTGAAATTATATATGTTTCATTGTATTACATAAAAAGCACCACATGAAAGATACAATGCGATCTAATACTCTTTTTCAAGTGAAGCTTACATTGGTTTGTTTTTTTTCATATTTTTCATAATATGATATTTACAATAAATGTATATTTTATTATTTCTCATATATATGAAAAGGTCTTAACTTTTCTATTTGAACAGAGCATAAGGCATAGAGTTTATATGGCCAGGGATTGGCTGAGCATGATATAAAGGAGAATCCATGGTGGGAGCCTACAATGTTCCACAGCCTGAATAAAGGAACTAATCAATTGCATTCACAGAGTGACCCAGCTACACTGCCCACTATATGGCATAGAAAAGCATTTCAAATGATTTCATATGTTTGGATACAATTTTAAAGTGATTTAATATTTTGGAAGAATGTGTAATATTGTTTGATATATTGATATATTTTAAACACTACTTATTATTTTAAATTTAAATATTTTGAAAAACGTCATTTGAAAAGTTTATCCAAAAATGTTAAATTATTTGAAAGCTTATCCAAAAATATTAAATGTAGACCCATATCGCAGCATAATGACTGCTTTCCTGTGGTTAACCCACTAGCATCATGCATCCATCTTCTGGGACTCTGCATTGCAAGGATTAAACAAAGCCCTATAATAGGGAATTTTGAAAACCAGGAGTTAGTTTTACTCCTATTTATTATATAGAACAGAAAGCCTGCACTCACCTCAACATAAATATATACTATAATAGTGCTGATGTGACTAACTAATAGAATATACCATATACAGTGAACTAAGCCTTAAACTAGCTCTAAGTTCGACAACGTTTTTAAAAGCATGTGACAGATGAGGGATTCTTGAAGCTTCTTTCTTATTTAACAAGAAACCGAGCTACACAAGAAGATATTTGGGAAAACTTCAAAGACGAACCAATGCAATAAGCAAACAATAATGTTATTAATTCAAAAGTGCAGTATAAATCATTTAGTTCTTAGCAGATTTTTGAAAATACAAAAATAATAGAAGGAAAGAGTAAAATGGATCTTTAGATTTTTTTATCTAGAAGTCTGTAACAACTTCAGTTGCAATAGCAGCGAACAACAGCAGCATGTGAGCTGATACCATGACTCTAGCATCTTGCAGGCAACCGGGTAACCTCCCATAAACCACATATTTCTGTTCAAACTGTGTGCATGTCACGGTCAAGAGGTTTGGAAGCCACCATTGTCCCTTTAGATTATAAACTCTAGAGAACAAGCCTCACTATACCATCTTAGGTTTTAATATGTCGTGTGCATATTCTTTCGTATTGTACTGTGCCACATATCCTACAGGTGCTTTTGTAAAATTACTAATATAATTATTAAGACAGCCTGGGAAAACTATTTTTCTATTGTGCAATGTGATAATGACACTTTCATTGTGTCTAAAATGGGCGCAAAGCTTTACAAAAAGCAAAACTCCAAATGGTAGTCTGCATTCACAACTTCTGATTAAAACTTTTGATATCCTGAGGAAAGTCCCAAAAGTTATTAAACACTTCTTAGATTTAAAAAGAAATAAATTTTATTAATTCAATCTAATATAGAAAAAGAAACAGAAGAGAAGAAAACTAAAAGTACCCCGTGTCAAACACGTGATAAGTAAAATGAGAACCACTAGTGGCCTATACTTAAACTATGAGTATATCACTGGGGATGGAAGATGGACACTTTATGTAGGTTCTCAGATTGCTCTTGTGTTTTGGTCACCCTGTGCCCAGGATAGGGTATAGAGTTCTACAACACAAAAAGGCTTGGACGTCCACGGAATCCAATGTATGATCATTGGACCCTTTCCATAGTAAACAAAAAACCCTTTCACAGCATCCAGCCATTTATTATTATTATTATTATGATATTTATATAGCGCCATCAAATTCTGCAGTGCTTTACAATGGGTGGACGAACAAACATGTAGTTATAACCAGACAAGTTGGACACACAGGAACAGAGGGATTGAAGGCCCTGCTCAATGAGCTTACATGCTAGAGGGAGTGGGGTAAAATGACACAAAAAGGTTAGTAGTATAGACTAGTGACAGTTGCAGAAGAGGAATCAGTCAGGAGCTATTAACAGTTTAATTGATATGCTTTTATGAAGAAGTGGAGGTAGACTTATCATTATCCAAGTCTACTATAAAGAGAAGATTTCACAAGAGCAAATATAGAGGGTTCACCATATGGTGCAAACCATTCATAAGCCTCAAGAATAGAAGACCAAATTAGATATTGCCAAAAAAGCATCTAAAAAGCCACCCCAGGTCTGGTACAGCATTCTACAGCATTAGAAAGATTAAACTAAGATCAACCTGTACCAGAATGATGGGAAGAAAAAAGTATGGAGAAGGCTTGGAACAGCTCATGTTTTAAAGCATACCACATCATCTGTAAAACACAGTGGATGCAGTGTGATGGCATGGGCATGCATGGCTTCCAATGGCACTGGGTCACTTTTGTTTATTGATGATGTGAAAGAAGACCAAAGCAGACAGATAAATTCAGAAGTGTTTAGGAATATACTGTCTGCTCAGATTAAGCCAAATCCAGCGAAGTTGTTTAGATGGCACTTCCCCTTACAGATGGACAATGACCAAAAACATACTGTGAAACCAACCCATGAGATGCTAAGGCAAACAATTGGAATATTCCGCAATGGCTGAGTCAATAACTCAGCCAATCTCAACCCGTTCGAGTATGCATTTCACTTGCTGAAGATAAAACTTAGGGCAGAAAGACCCATGAACAAATAACAACTGAAGACAGCTGCATTAAAGGCCTGGCAAATCATCACAAAGGAGGAAACACAGTGTCTGGTGATGTCCATGCATTTCATGTCTGGTGATATCCATGCATTTCAGACTTCAATCAGTCATTGTCTACAAAGGATTCTCAACAAAGTATTAAAAAACATTTTATTTAGGATTGTGTTAACTTGTCCAATTACATTTGAGCCCCTAAAATAGGGGACTGTATGAAAATGGTTGCAATTCCTAAACATTGCATACATTGAATTAAAGCAGAAAGTCTGTACTTCAATTGCATCTCAGTTGATTCATTTTAAATTCATTGTGGTAGTGTACAGAGACAACATTTTGAAATTGGGTCAGTTTCCAAATATTTTCAGACCTAACTGTATATACACTGAACAAAATGATAAACACAACACTTTTGGTTTTGCCCCCATTTTTCATGAGCTGAACTCAAAAATCTAAGACTTTTTCTATATACACAAAAGGCCTATTTCTCTCAAATGTTGTTCACAAATCTGTCTAAATCTGTGTTAGTGATCACTTCTCGTATGCCGCGATAATCCATCCACCTCACAGGTGTGGCATATCAAGATGCTAATTAGACAGCATGATTATTGCACAGGTGTGCCTTAGGCTGGCCACAATAAAAGGCCACTCTAAAATGTGTATATGTATATATCTAATCTCTCTCTCTCTCTCTCTATATATATATATACATATATATGGTACTCTATATATACAGAGTACCGAAACATCTGCACAGTATATGGATGGACATGCCTAAGTCCAGATGGGAGATACAACAAAGGGTAGTTGAGAATAGCAGGACTAAGATCCTGTGGGACTTCAAGATCCAGACAGACAAGAAAGTGCTGGCCAACCAACTCGACATTGTGTTGGTAGACAAGGAATGGAAGACTGCAGTCATGCTGGATGTGGCAATACATTAGGAAGAAGGAACACGAGAAGGTGGAGAAATACCAAGGACTGAAAGAAGAACTAAAAAGGATGTGGAAAGTTGTCAGGGTACCTGTTGGTGATGTATCCAGGGAGGACATCCTCTCTGCTTAGGGGTTCCCTTCCCTTAGCATTTCGGCATATTCCGTCCGTTTTCGCGCCGGCCGCGCTAGCTCCTCCCCCTTTTATGACGCGACGGCTAGCGTCGACGTCATGACGTCGGCATTTGCATAAAGTGCCGGGAACCGCTATTCCGGACCTTTTGGGGGCGTGGTCTCTATTTAGGTACAGGGTATTTAAAGGAAACCTTTACTACTGCTCATTGCCCTGTCGTGGTTCTAGCTTGCTAGTCACTCAGCGCGTTCTTTATCTTGTGTTTCCGGTTTTGACCCTTGCTTGTCTTTTGTCCTGTTGTCCTCTCCTCTCCTTTGACTCGGCTTGTATCTCGCTTACCTGTCCTCCGGCTCCCTTGACCTCGGCTTACCTTTTGACTATTCTTGCTTTGTCCTTACGTTAGTCCGGCCATTCTAAGGTCCGGTATACGTACCTCCTTCTGTGCGCACTCTGCGTATTGGATCCCTGTCAGTTTCCTGACATTACGACAGGGCCATGATGGATCCTGCAGGTGCTAGTCCTCCTGACCCCAGATTTGAGGCCATGGACCATAGAATGGACCAAATGGCTTTAGCGCTACAAACTTTGTTGACACGCTCCAGTACCCAGTCTGAAGAAA